TACACGGTGTCTTGAATTTTTAAACACCAGTGACCCAATTTTCAGGCTTCATTTAAGTCCACTGCGCAAGCCTTGTATGTCTCCGTTTCTGACCCAATCAGATTTGTATGTCCCTTATTCATCCACTTTTGGAAATGCATCAGTTATTGACTCATTCAGGGCTTTTTCGAACTTTACGCCTTCGACCCTCTTTTACTGAATTTTCACACCTTTCATCGGTCTTGAATCCATCTGTTTAATGTTACTCAGAATGCCTGCATGTTGCGGGTTTCTGTTTGCCCCATTGATACCGGAGTGCTACCATCCTTTAGTGTCGTTGGGGTGGAGATCGGTATCGCTCCCGTGAAGAAGTTAGGTTTCTCTCGAAACTTCGTTTTACAACTGGCAACATCCTTTTATTGTTCTTAACTTCTAGATTTCTCCGTCTATTCATTCACGCTAAATTATCTCCACCTCAGTTCTTGTACGCCTTCTGAATCCGTTTATCAGTTTCCTTACACCGTTGTTGAGGATGGGACTCAAAGTCTACTGTGTGCATCTACGCTACCGAAACTACCCCATTATCCTCTGTCATCCCAGCCGAGTATCGTGCCACGTTTCAGTCAGTATAGTCCGTACAAGTTGCGGTGCTGGCGTGTGCTTTTGTCTTTCGAGTTTCATTGTGTGTGCAGCCAACAGACACTATTCTCATGGTGGTTTCGCGCATTCGATGATGCCGACGCAGCAAGCACAGGTCTGGCTGAGACCGGCACAGAGGAGGTGTTCTATTAATGTGGATAAGGTTCCATCAGCAGTCCTCTGTGTGTAGCACGTTTGTCAACGTCGGTTAAGGTATATACTGGAAGAAGCGCTAGGCGTTCCATTTGGGGTTGTTTCCTTTGTCTGACTACGTTACTGATATTAAATACCTACTACCACAAAGCGTATAAACTGCGACCAGATAGGCTGTCTGGAACTGGTCAACGTGGGGATTATAAGCGAACTATGAGTCCTGCCCGAGTCAGAAGAATCGCATCATCCGATAAGCAGCCTTTTCAGACTAAAGCACAGCAATATCTACTGAAAATCAACAGTAGGCGAAACTGTCGTTTCTGCTTTACGCGAAAGGACGCTGTATGATGAAGCATTTTTAGGATCAGTCCTGCCCATGTGCTGCTTCACACTCGTGACGTAAGCTAAATTGGAACCAGGTAACTTTAATACCATACCTAGGTCTAAAGCTCGAACTACAGTATTGTCTCTTGGTCACTAGCATGTTACTAGTGCAGTTTCTCCCTTATCTCCGCTACTGAAGTTCTCCGCACAAACATGCAACCAGATTTTTCGGTATTACTTGTTTCCAGAGCTCCGAAATCTATCCGCGAACTTTATCATTTGTTCAATGTTCTTTGTCGGAAGGGTGTTCTCGCTGCCTACACGAACACTATGTTCCCCCTCGTGTACCTCTAATCCCGTCGGAGCCTACGTTAACTTGTTGGACGCCCTGTTTACATTCTTATAACTGCATTTGCTTGATGAGAAGTATTGAAAAGAAATATCTTCGCAATTTTTGGTTTTTCTTTGAATAATATTCGTCGGGATTGTCTCATTTCCTCCTTCAGTTTTGTTATGATCGCCTTAACGCGTTCATTTATGGCGCATCAAGCTGCGATTGTGTGCGTACCCTCCTAAGGGAATTGGTTTTCCGAGATTGAGCGGACGTATTCGTCTTTCTTTTCATCAGTCCTAACGAGGTGTATATATCACATAGCGGACCTTTATTGTGGTCCCATTCTTCAATATATGCTTTACGTCATCAGAGTATACACTGCTGTTGCACGGTCATCAGCTGTTTGTTGTTCTTTCTGATTCTGAGCTCGAGGGCTGGAGAACTGCGCGATGCGCGCGCTCATCCAGCTTTTTGCTGAATTGTCTATCGTTCACTTGCGCTCGTCGTGTGGTTCATTGGCTTTTTCAAAGCGAGTGAGGTATTCTATTTCTCGTCTAAACAGATCCACTTTATTTCGTTACCAACGCATACTCCACCTAGCTGGGAGTTACCCAAATGGATGGAGTGCTCACTCGCCACTTGTTTGAGCTAAACCCAAATTGTCCACTTAATGATACGGCTGTGACCTGAAACGATTGGCTTAAACTGTCTTTACGGCACTTGTCATCTTGGAGATGAAATATCATACTGGCCGTACTTGTCAAAGGGTATGGTGATGCCATTTCCAGTTCACTACTTCCAACCGTTAATTTTTTCACTGTTTCCCTTATTTCATTGTGTTTTTCCACTGCCCCAGCTTTCTACCTTCCTTCCTGGTAACTGACCCCTTCACGCCTTCGTATTCGTACTGTTTGCTGACCTGGAATAAATTAATTCCGTAACCGGATGGATACCATTCACTAAACCATCATTTTTGTGTTAATAACTAGTGTTACATACCATACCTTTTGCTTCAACTTCCTTCAGGTCGCGGAATTGTATGAATTAGTCAAAAAGTGGAACCATGTGGTTGATAGCCTCCCGATGATTGTGGAGCGGCTTTCGGAGCTAAAAGAATTACATGAAGAAGGTAAGATTTTTCTACATTCTCCGTATACCAGTTGTATACACCGTCATTTGCTGTTAAAATGATATTTCATCAATCTAATCTCGATACATTCTCCTTGGATTGTGGGTGCTTGAGGTTAGTCCAAGATTAGCTTCACTCGGTCACAGACATTTCTTTCAAGCTCAAGCTCGATGTGTCCAATAATGCTAATTTTTACCGCTGCCTCATATACTTGATTCCATGGTTTTCGCTCCGAAATCTCATGGACTGCAGCTACTGGGCGCATCTGATGCTTCTCAAAATGTAATGATGCTGCCTTAATTTGTCTTACTCTGGTTGTGTTATTTGGCTTCTGACCCCTTTGTTGCACCGGAAAGGAAGTGTGGGCACTGGTTATGCTCGCCTCGGGTTTTGTGCTGCGATCCTTTGGTCCAGTTCCCCAAACTGTATGTGAGCCACGTGTTCCATGGGCTCAACCACCCACACAGATCGCGCAATCTTGCGTCATCTAACTTGGGTCAAACTTTTTTCCACCTGTACCTACGTGGGAAATATTCAGTTGCCGAGTATTTTTAAGGCCAACTGTGTTGTGTTTACATTGTTATGTCCTGATATGCTTACTTTCCGCTTTTCTTTTAACAGCATCGGAATTTAGCAGCACTTTATCCTCCATCGAAACCGATCAAAAGTTGCTGGATGAGAATTTGAAGACCTACTCCAAGCTTCTGGAGGACGTAAGGCAGCCGCTTCTGATTAACTTTTTCTTAGGTTAAGATCAGTCTGACTGAAAACATGGAGAATGTGGAAAAAAATTTGAGCGCCCTGAAAGCCCGCTTCGAGTAGTGTGATGGTGTTCACGACCTCCCAGCCAACTAACTGGAAAACATTTTTCGCTTACCAACCTATTTCTTACTCCTTTCTGCCATTTCTTGCTTGTGTCGGGTAATTCATACTTCCTAACTTAACTTTTTCACTTGTAACAAAGCGAGCTATTCAGCTGGATTGCAGTGTGACTAGCAACCACCGATGATAACCTGTGTTCCTTCTCGAGTGATGCGCTCCAGCTCACGCATGCAATCTGTTAGTAAACACCAGTGCTTGCGAACCTCGGCGGTATTCAACTAACGTTCCCACAGGCATCATAGTCGAAGACGATGATACCGTTGCAACCAGCAGCTCGCAGTCATGTTTAGTAATACAAATCGTACTGCAACATTGAGTATGCTAAGGAAGTCTACCGTAGCAACAGTCTGCTTATGTTTATACACTTAACGCAGCACAAGACCATGATTTTTGCTGAATCAGCTGTGCTAAGGATCAGAAAACGGGCCGCTCAAGCTGCTCTTTTGATGAAACCTTTGCTTCGAAAATGTTCATATACCCCTTTTCAACCATGAAGATGACGATTGTGTTTCGTTTTTAGTGCATTTCGATTTCCCGAAATACGGTGCATCATATCGTAGCTAAACGTATCCCAAATTAGCAACACTATCCGCAACGATGTTAGTGATTTACACGGTCTTGACTCCTTGTTCTGTTCCGAAGCACAACTTTGTATCGAGCCTGTTCGATGCGTGGATTCATTGTGTTGATTTCCCTGATTGTTTCAGGACGTTCAGCACTGCTTTTGGACAGGGTTAACGTGTTAATTCCCCTAGGGACTGTTCGCCCTGTCATTCAATTTGGCCTATCTAAGAGCAGATCAATGGCTTGTCTTACACAAATAGATTTTCACTCATTTTTGCACACCCTCTGCTGAAACAGACTATTCAGCTGTTTCCGATAGCTCTGTCCACTATTCAGTGAAACACATTCAGCAACCGGACTCGATCGGATTGCCCATAGGGTTGATCGTCTACGGTATACTGGCTACGTTTATTGGAAGCAGAAACGGTAAAAGCATACACCGCTGTCATTTGCTGCTTATTGACTCCGAGTGAGTTTCGAACTTAAATCGCATGCATGTAACGGTTAACTTGGATCCATTCTAGCGTAACGTTTTCCGAGCATCTACTGATGCCGGTTCTGGTGTCATGAGTGCAATGATTCTTTTCTTACATCCCTGGCACCGTGAAGTATGTGAACCCCCTATTGCCGGATTCTTGCTCTCTCAACTGCAAATGCGTTGCTACTGTATAATGTGTGGTTTTCGTCCACTTATAACCCTTTTCCATGTTCCGTCACTTTGGATCCGTCTTGCGCGAAGAAGTCAGATGTGAAATCGGACTGTTAAAATTAACTAGGAGTACAAGGCCAGGTGAACTTTCTCCAGCCCTCTTCGAGTTCGACGAACCAGCTATTGTGGATAATTTGCAGAATTCATAGGTAAAACTGTGGGATCAGGAAACTGTCCTAACGCACTGAAACTGTTCTGTCACAGTCCCGATTTTCATCAACAGACTGACTCTATGTAAGTAGATTCGTGAAGAGCAAGCCGGGTTTCGTCGAAATAAGGTGTATCGACCACAGCTTCAGTTTACGTTAATTGTTGGGGTATCGCCATTTATTTTAGCTACCAATCTAGTCGTGTTCCTCGTCACCAGAAGCGTCTTTCTTTCTGTTGATTGGTGTGGCCTTTGGGACTGTCTGCTCAGCAAATGTGTACCTACTGTAAAAGCGCTTTTCACGCGTAGTTCGGGCAGAATTGGGGCTTATGACAGACTGTGGCCGCTATTCACTACCTCCAATAGTGTGAAACAAAGTTATCCACTATTGCCCTTTTGCTTCAACTTCGCCATCGATGCAGCTTTGGAAACTGCATTCACCGGATTCGACTTGTTTGTTCTCGTTTGATTGACTCGGAGTGTGCCGACGACATTGCTTAAGTCTTTGAAAACTTACAAACCTGTCAAGCAGCGTTAGGTAGGCTGTCATCCTTTTCGGTCTTTGCTTTTCACCCTCAAAATGCGAAGCTTTCCTCCGAAATTGACAGGGACCAACATCTGCATTGTCCCTTGGTTGCTCTATCGTCGCCTGCAGAATAGAACATGAGGTCATAAACCACAATGGGAAATATCGAGACGCTTCTTCTAATCTTTATCACTTTGGCTCGAGTTGAACTGTAGGGTCTACGATGCTACCATACTTGCAACCCTATTGTGCGGTTGTTTAATTTGGCGTATTAAGTAAAATCAAAGAAGTTAGTTTTGTTCGGAACCGGTGCCTTCGCAGTCTAACTCATATTTGGTGGAAACATCGCGTGGGCCGCTAGCGTGTTCACTATCCTGTTTATAGCATAGGAATAGCAGGTGAACCGCTCAGCATCGTTATTTCACGCACCAGGTTCAAATGACTGAACTACGTGTTACGCATGCCAGCACACCTGCTCTCCTGACATGCGCAGCCAGGGTCCGGATGGAAGAGGAAGAGAGGCCAGCTGATGACTTGCTCAAGTATGGCCTCAGTTTGCTGCTCATGGTTGGAGTCGTATACACGAGGCACACATCTTGCTAATAATTTGGCAGCAGTCTATTAAATAGACAGAGTTAAACATAACCATGGAAATCAAATAAAGAGGACTGGTTTAACACCGTATCCTCATCATGGCACATTAACTGAAGGTGAGCAACACACTTCATCTATTGTGCCGCAATAAAAGAAGAAAACGGGGCATTTTTGTTATTTTGCACACGCCACATTTTTTTTTGTTATTTTCATTCGGTAAGCCTTAAGCATCCAAATCTAAACAATTAGGTATACAGATCCTCCACTGGTTTCGATTACGAGCCATATCCTGAATTGTTTCCAGCCATCGGCACCCTTCATCCTTTGGTCCCCAACCAGACAGACGTGGATTCAACGGTGGCAAGACATGAAGTCAAAGATTCATTCCCACAACCCTGCCTCTGGTTTGCGCTTGCCCTGTCGCTTCAGCATTGTGTATTTGGTCCCCATGTATAGTCTTTGAATATACGACTTCTTCCCTTACCAACTTATGGGGCACATTAAGCTTATGCCTTTTACCTTTCATAAATCAGTGCTCCACTGAGCTACATGTAGAGTAATAATGCACGAAAATTTGCTTCATATCCGAACTGCGTGGTCTTGATAAGCTGTTGTAGGGGATTGGCTAGGATGTCAAACTCAACAATAGACCAGTGAAGTGGCCCAAGTGTGTTTCGGTTGATTCTTAGGTCGACTGCTCTCTCATGACATCCAGAAAATCTGGAAAATGTGAAATGTTTTCTCGTTCGGATGGAAGTAAGCAGTTTAGAGTCAGTCTACGCTGTTCGTCACACCTAAGGGTGCCAATCAAATGCGTCTGTGAGACCTATGCGGTTAGGAACAATTAAAAGATAAAGCTCACCTGTACTGAAAACACCAGTTTGAGTACCTTCGCGACCGCAGTTCGATGAATCCAAGTGAGATGCATATATTCTCCGACCGGTGGACGAAAGGAGTACATGCACGCCTTTTAATCCGGAGATTACCGGTACGAATCTGCGCAGGTACAGGCGACCTGGCGGTCTACCCAGTTCATACGCAACCAGTGGTGGTCGCGTGACAGCGAAGCGTCAGTACGGTGTGCCGATGTTAACATTACCCAGAATTCCGCATTATATTGGCATATTTCTTGCATCCAGATGTATACTTCCCAGCGTGCATTTGCAACGGTGGTCTATCCTTCGACCGCTTTAATGATGAAAATTAAGTGAATCATACTAGGGAATTACAGTCAAATCCAATCATACGGTAAGTCACCGATCACGATAGTGTACAGGAAAGCGGAACTGAAACGGAAAGAACCTGGTTGAACGCGAAGTGCCAGGGGATATATCATGCAATATGGTGGAGTCGACGTACAAGGTGAAGTGGTGCGATGGAATCAGAGTATGCAGTTGTATCTGCTGACCTGCAGGTGCGTTTCGGTGGACGTCTGCTACGGCTCTGTGAGGGTATAGACACCAACCAACTGGTGAAGCTAGGTGTTCTAAATGCATCCGAGCTGAGAATAGGCGCCCACTGAACACAGCTAAAGAGCACTGGTCGCAAATTGGCCAGATGTTACTATCGGTTGGCATATATTTATGTGGCAAATCAAATTACGAACCTGGACATTGGGTATCTACAAAATCTCAGGAACTTCTGGATGCTCGCCGACACATTCCGGCTGGAAGCGAACACAATGAGACTCGCAAAGATCTCAGGGCGAAACTGGGCGCTAGCCTGGAGACTGGGAATCCTGTTGGTCTCATCGTGCATCGCAGATGGAAACGGTCCCTGTTCTTATTAACATCTGGATGTTATTCCGTCTAATAAGGGAAATGGGCAGCAGGCGACCCAGTGTTAGTGACATCATATGCGACGAGAGTAGACAACTAATACACAACTTCTCAAAACGCTCAGAGAGTTGGGCCGAACATTTTTAAAATCAGATTCATCATTCAGTTGCTACCTTCCTTATGGGACAGATTACTTCTCCTTATGCAGCCCACTGAGATCCGCCCTCACGCAAAAATGAGAGTAGATTGCTGTAATTGAAAATGACCGCAAGAGCAGATAGACTTCTTCCAGTCCTCTTCAAATTCTGGGAACGAGCTATTGTGGATGATTTGTAAACTTCTTAGTGAAGCTGTGGGAGAACTAGACTGTCCCAGCCAACTAGAGCCGCTCCGTTATAGTCCAATTTTCCAGGGAGGCCCCAGTTCAGAATGCGGCAATCATGTAAGTATCAGTCTGATATCAAATGTCACAAAATTTCTTATGTGCAACCCTACCGTACGGCTGCGAAAACTGACTCATCAGATCGACAGACATAAGGAGGTTAGTTGCGTTCGATCATTGCTGCCTTCGTTCACATATGGTGGAAACACCGAGTGGGCAATTAGCGTGTTCGCGTCGTGTATTTGGTGCAGGAAGAGCGAGTGATTCGCTCAGCGCCGTTATATCACGCACCTGGCTCCGATGGCTGGACCACGTGTTGCGCATGCCAGTACCCCGATTCTCAAGTCGTGCGTTCAGTTGTTGTAGAGTTCTCCGAGCTGGGCAACTTGGTTGCAAACGTTTCGCCACCATTCGAGGTGGCATCTTCAGTGCGGGATTGATAACAGTAAAGTAGCAGTAGCTGGTAGAAAGCAAACCCAATCATGGATACTGTCAGCAGCCACTCCGTTCCTTATATAGGCATACGGGGCTATTAATTTTGCCTCGTTCTCATTGGTGAATCCTTGTGTTCAGCGGTTGCTACTTTACTGCTATCAATCCCGCACTGAAGATGCCACCTCGAATGGTGGCGAAACGTTTACAACCAAGTTGCCCAGCTCGGAGAACTCTACAACAACTGAGCAAGCCTTCCGAGCTACCAATATTCCAAGTCATTTCGAACGTCGTGCGTTGTTTGTGCGACCAGTGTGTCGATGGAATGACGCCAAGCGATGGTTTGGTCAATGAGAATGAACGCTCTCACTTCGATATTGGTGTCTCCTGACTGCTGGGCTGAGGCCCAAGGACGAGAAACTCGTTTGTTTGGATATACTAGTTGACGTGGCGTAGGACCGGCCCTAATTCCGCTTGTGTTCCCTTTCTAACCACATGCTCCCACCTGATGCGTAATATGATACCAAGCACTATATTGCTTTTTTGGTTATTATACTGTGTTCAGTAGTGTTTTATACCTTGCTTTATCATATACCTTATCTTCTTGTATCGTGACATATTGGCTGAAGTATTCTAACCTTCAGCCAACGTGCAACAAGGATAGATGATGACCCAGAGCCTTTGTGTGCCGATGCCTATCTCAATGTGGCGCATTGCAATTCTTGTGGTTTCGATCAACTAGCCCTGTGTGATAGTTGATAAAACAGCCGGTGGCCGAGTGGTTTTGATCGCAGGTTCCAGGCTGCACAGGTGCGGGGGAACTCGCCACATCGCACGCGACTGATGTCGAAGTAGCCCTCTGAAAATCAAAACGAAGTATAGACAACGATCCAAACCTGTTAGTAAAAAATACGATACTATTTTATACTGTACATCACTATTCACTAAATAGCACTTTAAATGGTTGATTCTTTCCGGTCATCTGCATGGGTCCATTGGCCACCGCTTGTCGTTCGTTCGCAGTTGCTTGGACCATTCCTACCTTAACTGGAACAAAATTGCGTTTTGGAAACATCTGGGTGTTGCTTCTCCTAACACTGGCACATCACGACCGCGGTTTCGTCCTGGTATAGACACATAGGTGGAAATAGCCTAAGTTGGGGTTACGCTTTGTTCACAATCCCCCAACCCCACTCTCGTCAGTCCACTCTGTCCTTGCAAATGTGAGCAGCTAGTTGTGGAATATGCGATTCAAGTATGGCTGAAGCGGAAATTCCGCAACGTCGGGCCACCTAAAACGTCAAAGGGCTAACCACTTATCATACGAACCGCGTTTGAGTCTTTTGGGAATTTTCAGAGGAAGCTATCGGCGTTCGCGCTGTGATCTTAGCATGATTCACCAAACTTTATGCAACTCCAACCGCTTGTGCTATCGGCTGATAAAGCATAGCCATAACAACTGACTGAGGCCACCGTGTCAATCTGGCAGAACAATACAACTGGCCGGAGTGTAGACGGAATTTCTTCTCGCTATGTGTGTGCCACATATGGAATTCACCCCGGGAAAGTATAGTATCTCAGCCTCTGCATTAGCTGTATTCAAACATGTGTCGACAATGCGTTGGTCGTGTTACACCACATCATATAACACACATGAACCGTACGCATATTGAAAGAACAAAGCCGCATCAACGCACACCCGTTTTCCTGAATCGTATAAAACCATACGTGAACGATTCAGACGGACAAAATTTTGCTCGGCAAATACACGGTTTCCGGTTGTAATAATATAATAGTGGGTATATTTCTCTTTAAGTGAGAAGCCGTATCCATAGTAGCACAGGTCAAAGATGTACAGGTACACCATTATCTTAAAAAACTCCACTTACTATCCTGTGAGGCATGCTAAGGCTCGGATTCTTTATCCGCGGTGCTAATTGGCTTTCCATTTGCCGGCTCTGTCCGTTTTGCTCGCCCAGCTTATCAGCTGTCATCGCGGGGTGCGTCGCCCGCCCCGGGTCATTGTCACGTGAGGCAACGCGCTTGCCTTTGACTTGGACGTTGCTACCCAATTACCCCTTTTTCACTCGGTCCATATGAATGTGGTCACTTCATGCTAGTGGCCTACCCGTCCACTGACCGCGCGTCGATTTCGTTCGCCTTGCTTGACAGTTACAACTGGTGGTGGTTGCGTGGCAGCGAAGCGTTGGCACGGTGTACCACTAATGCCCTCTCTTTCCCATAAGTTAGTAGGCTATTCCATCGGTTTGTGGAAACATTTCGCAAACCGTGATCTACTACTAGCTGTCTGTGGCAAACATCACAATATCCGGCAGCGGGTAACTGGCAGTTCACTTGTAACTCAACTAGGGTTCAAATACACATAAACTGGTGCGCTTTATCTACGAGCAACAAAACCAGCTGGTTTAGTTGCTATATAACGTCGGATGGGAACACCTGTTAATTTGGAGCAGCGCCCAATGAATAAGTGAGATGACCAGAGGTGTACAAGCTTGCAAACACAGGGACTGTGGAGAAGAAAGGAGATTCCAAGAGTATTCTGTTCTATAAGACACATCCCATCAAGTTTCAACAAAAGCTCATCTCACTGGTGACCACAGTAACATAAAGTTGGTGGTCCGAAAATCATTTTCAAAAGGACGTTTATTTTAATGATGACAAAGGACGGGCAGCAATAACAGCAGAATTTGGCAAGAATTCACCAGTCATGATTCCAAAGCGAACGTCTCCCTTCGATCAACCGCCGATACATCGTTAGACGACCTTCAGGTGTGGATAATCGCGCCTCTTCCGAGCATTTACTTGCTCGACGTGATAGAACAATGGAGTAGATTCGCCTCCGGCCGGGGACAGTGAAGCCAATCCGATGAAACACTTTCTGCATCATTAGTTCGTATTCTTTGGGCAGGCCGTTGTTGCGCCTGCTACCTGGATTTGTGCCTTCCGACAGCTGAAATGCACAATAGTGAAAGTAATTGAAGTACACGTTGTGGGACAAATTGAAAATCATATTACAGTCCAACCTACTACGGCGACCAGCCAAAACCCCCCAAAATCTTCTCATATGAATAATATCCCTATGCGTGAACTTGTTCATGGCGACCACCTGTCCAAGGCGACCACTTATTGTCGGTCCCTTAAGTGGTCGCGTTAGGCAATGTGCCAGGAAGTATCGACAATAATAAGTACAGTACACGCAAGAGGAGATAAAGGTGGGATGTTACAGTGAGTAGCGCGAGTGTATGGCATTCGGAAAAGCACGGTGAGTGGCTTGAAAGAATCGTCGAGTACCAGACTGCTAATTATTTTACCAGATAAACTGCACTGGAGGGAGCGCCTCTCGCGCACTAAGCTTCAATGGAAAGCGAAACATATTCCTAGGAAAAATACATTCAGTAGAATACTGATGAACAGCACCGAGCACAGTGTACTAAAGGAAGGTGCTCGCAAGATATGCCTAGTTATCATCATCATCAGAGATACTCGAAGCAAAGTCTGTGTCGGAGTTCAAGAAACTCCTAGACACTCTTTGCCGACTTGGGATATCGGGAATAATCACCATCATAATAGGTAGATTTGCTCGAAAAATACTAGATGTAGCTATGCGGAGGCAGCTCTACTCGCTGCATTTTCTCAATATCACCATCGTCATTATTATCATAAACATCATCGTCGTCAACATCAATCATCATCACCACTACCACCATCATCACCAGCATCATCATCAGGGCACGATAACTGGGGGTGAGAAACACCTTAGTAAATGTGCCGCATTACAAAAGATAACAAATGTTATGGAATACAAAAACTATAATACATATAATGCTAAATCTCATATTACGCATCAGGTGTGAGATCGTGATTGGAAAAGGAAGTCAAAGGGCAGAGGGAGGTACATGAAACGTACACACAAACGCCACGGAGGTCGGCTTTTCGGCATATCAACCAATGCATCCAGCCAAACGTGTTCATCGTCCTTCAGGAGACACAAACCCACGTCAACGTCGAAGTGAGGGTTTTCATTCTTCTTGACCAAGTTACTGCTTAGTCTATTTTCTTCTTATTCTTCTTCCATCCATACCCCGGTGACACAAACAACGAACGATGCGAGAGTCGGTGTGCTGGCATGCAAAACACGTGGTCCAGCCAACGGAGCCCGGTGCGTGATATAATGGTGCTGAGCGGATCACTCGCTCTTCCTGTCCCAAATACACGACGCCGAACACGCTGATTGCTCATGCTGTGTCCCCACCACATATCAGCTAAGCTGCAAAGACAGCAATGGTCGATCGTAACTAGCCTATTTATGTCTGTCGACTTGATGGGCCAGGTACCGCAACCGAAGAGGAGGATTGAATGGACAGTTGCATTGTAAACTATGCTCTTCATGGCGAGGATGATGTCGCATCGACATTAGAGGTGGCGGAGATTCGCGAAAGTACCTCGAGCTTTTGCTATACAGTTGGTGACCTCATCTTCAATCCCACGGGTGCTTATATAGCTGCTGAGATACTAGCTTTTCTGACCGTCTAGCTGATCACCACCAAGGGTCAGCGCAGGGGTTGGTACCTGCCAATCTTGTAAAGATTTTACATTTTGAGGGTGCAAAACATACCCGAGATGACTGACAATCAGCGTTAATCTGTGCAGTGCTGTTTAGCACATTTAGGAGCTGTTATATTTGAGGACAATGTCATCGGCGTACTCCGGCTCCAGATGTCGCTCACCAGGAAGCAGCTCCACGCAGTTTCCATGACTTCGTTAATGGCGAAACTAAAGAGGAAAGGTGACAGTGGGCAATCTTATCTCACACTGCTGGAGATACTGAAGGGCGGCGACGGCTTGCCATAAATCCTCACTATGCAAGAACTATGTACGTACATCGCTCTGATAATGTTTGCGTAATAATCAGGCAAACCTATCCTGAGCAGTCGGTTCCAAAAGCGCATTGATTCACGGAATCGACGGCACTTTTGATGTTGATAAACTCGACTACATTGAGTTTCCGATGAATATGGCGGTGTTCCAACAATTAGCGCTATGTGAAGATGTGGTCGATACAGCCTTGATTTCGAAGAAAGTCGGCTTGCTCCTCGCGAATCTGACTTTCACAAGTGCTAGTCAGTCTGTGGATAACGACAGATGTAAGCGATTGAGATAAGACTGATCTCAGAAAAATTGGGACAATGTTGGGATAGTCTCCAATTTCACTAGTAAGGTGTGCAAATCATCCGTGGGAGATGGTCCGCCGAATTTTAAAAAGACTGAAATAAGTCGAGCTGCTCCTGCAGCCTTATTCAATTTCAACAGTCGAATATCACGTTCAACTTCTGAGCGTGTAGGCGGATGAAAGGGGACAGCCAAGGGAAAATGGTCAATGGTATATTGAGGAGAAAAGAAGCCGAGGCTTGATATATAGCGCCGGATGATTGGTTAGGAGTGAGAAAAATGAAGGCAAAAAATAGCAACAGTAAGTAGTGAACAACCACAAACTGCCAACTTTCCGGTTATATTGTTCCCCATCTGAGCGGTCCGCGCCTAATTTTATGTATTATCCAAGGTCATCGTCTGTGGTCTCAAGGCAAAATGGAGGTGAGTAGATTTGTTTTTATTTTTCTGCCTTTTGTGTGGGTTACTTGATATGGTGTAGTACGGCTAGTTCATCATCGACACGAACTTTGAACATGGCTAAGGTAGGAGCTGAAGTTACAGCTTCTGAGGGGATATTCCATGTGTGGCAAACACACAGTGAGGACTTTCTCCGACATTCAAAGCGCCTGTATTTCACTTGTAATTTGAGCTGATGACTTCTCAGTCCGTTGTGGCAGCTTCAACAAGTGATGGCACGGGTGAATAGAATTGTTTAGAATTTGGTAAGTCGTGATTACGTCACCACGCAAACGCAGATTGCGTCCACTGAAAAGGCCTAACACAGGCGTTGTTCGTTTGAGAAATGGCGCAGTCCTTTGATATTTTTAGTCGCCTGAGGTTGCGGAATCTTCCAGACAGTGGGATCATGCACGCTTTAACCATCGGTGCCCTGCTTGAATTGCATATTCTAAGTGAGGACGTACGTAAGCCGGAAGTTGTTGGCGGAAAATAGATGGTTCGAATTGTTCGGAAGTTCTCCGCGGAAGCCCCACGATTTGGATTCTATTCTTCAATTGTTTTCCGGACTGTTGCGAGCAGTTGAGATCTTCCTGGACCAGCCCACCGAAATCCTTTTGTGAGAACAGTGTTGCAGATTATGGTCCCTAGTTTATAAGTGGGAACCATTCGGTGTTGCAGATGGAGCACTCGACATTTAGCTACACTGCATAAAAGCGAATTTAGACCGCTCATCCATAGATCTTATCAAGGTCATTTTGAAGCTGGATACGGTCTCTGACCGCTGGTCAGGCTTTCATGTCATCGGCGTAGATTAGACAGTTTGGTGAGGGAGAAGGGCAATCACTGTTTGAAAAGGAAGATAACTCAGGTTGATTAAACCGCTTTTCAAAGTATTCGGCCCAACGCTCCAAACGTTTTGACAAGTTGTGGATTGGTTGTCCCATGGGGTGATCAGCGAGCACACACTGCGGAATGCGACATCTTGCTTTCGCATCGCGGTTGTTCAATGAACGTATGTTGCCTACACGGAGTATGGAAAAGTAGCTGACACACTACACCCATCGACAATACCGAGGAGGAAGTTTCTGCGAATTGTGCAGCCACGGTTCCTACACCTTAAATAACTGTTCCATCATGTCTCAGTTGTTAGCCGTGTCTAAGATAGATTTATCGGAGGAACAAGCAACGCCATCTCGAGCTCACATTATTGCATGGGTTTGGATGTCGTACGTGGATGTTTTCATACCGAAATTCTGGCCAAGACATGCTGACTACAGACAGGCTCGTTTGGTCCGGCATTGAAAGCCGCATTTATGGTAGGGTATGCGCCTACAATTGAAGTTGCAGCGACGCGCTGCTGAAATCTCTTGCCGTTAATACAGCAAAATGACTCATTATGATCAGTATCAGTGCAGCTGATTGCATTTTGCGTTGCCCGGAAGTAAACTATATCCGTATCAGTCTACCCAAATGGCTAGATACCCATGAGCATCATTGGTAGGTCTAGCTCTTCAACGGGTTTTACGAAGCAACCAGTAGTTGCCACCTGATAGACTCAGAGAGCGCAGGCGACATAGTTCTTATGGAGTGGATCCATCTTCGCTAAAAGCGCTTACGCATAAATGAACTTACAGCGTTGCACTCTACAGCATGCGCGTCAAATATCCGAGGAAAGCTGAATCGAAAGACCCTCATGTCAGTTAGCAACCAGCTCCTCTAAGAGTGCCATTTGTTTACTAATCCAGGTCGCTGCGCCACTGGTTGTAGAAGAACCGAGGAGGCTACCAAGCGGTGTTGTAGATTGGCGGATTTTTTCAAAGCTACGGCCATTCATGGAGAGGGGCAGACAGTGGTGCATTAGTAAAAGATGGACTGAGCAACGGTGCAAAGAATGTTTGAGGCTTCTCGAGATGAGATGACTTTGATCGCCTGTACCTGTAAAGTATCGCTCGTATCTTGTGGGACTACAGCCTAGACAATAATGAGGTTGGCGTTTGATAACCAACTTCTTGGTGCAGTACTAGACTGACTTCGCATTTGAGGTGATTTTGTCATGTTGATCTGCTGCATCGGCTTGTTATCTGCGGGAGCCGTACCTAGTTGGGCAAAGCTCTAGTGCAGGTAACCAGTGTCATCAATAGTATCGAGAAACCGATCCGCTTGGGTGCGAGTTTCAGTATAAGTCATATCGATAGTCAAGAACTCCCTCCAAGATGGCACAGTCGCGAGGAGACCAGTGCCGTTTCATATTTGCGCTTCGTATCCTGAATTATTCCAATGGGCAGATTCGTCATTTTCTAATCTAATAAGGTAAAAATGTGTCAGCTGTATGCCGTAACGGCGTTTCGCTGCCGTGCGACCAGTATCAGTCACACACGGGCTGAGTATACCGCGAGGAGGCCTATCCCTACGCGGATTCGAACCCGCACCGCAAGACTACGAGACAACCTCGTTACCACTAGGCTACGGACCGATCAGTCCACTACTCCCAACTTACAACCATTTCACTCAACAAAGATGACCGTTTTTATCCTTACGGATGTGATTTTGTTTGCGTGATTGCGCTTTCCATTTCATTCCTCCTCGTTGATATCACTAACCATTATAATTCCACCGCGAATCTAGGCAGCTGGTTGCACCGAGTTTTCGTTTTCATGTTGAGTCATTAAACCGGTGTACATGCAAAAAATGCCTCAAAAGAAAAGCAGCAACTGACAAAGAACCCGCCTAGACCAAGTTGGATAGCAAAAAAAATCCAGCGTGTCCATTGTATCAGCTGATCTGCGTCGGCTCAATAAAGCTGAAGTCGTTCGTTACTCAGTTAATGTCAGCTGGAGTGAGCCATTAGCATCACAGTTCGAGAAATGATTGATAAAGTCACAACAACCTAAAAGTTAGTCTCAAATTCGAGCAAAAGTGAAGTGTGGATGAACAGCTGAACGGATATAAAATAACGATGACGAACCGATGGAGTGGCAAGCCGTTCACTTGTTAAAAACACCGGGAAGCATTAGCATAGGGAGCCGTTATCAGACGGGTGTGACAACAAACATGGCCTCCAAGATAGCTAACAGCATGACGCGACCCTACTTATCTCACCAAAAATCAGCATTTAGTAAGATAAACAGTCGAGCCATTACATCAAAATTCTGTAAAAGTATCGCCAAGACGGTGTGCACACAGCAGCTAGCGAAGCAGCATGAGCCGCCTCTAGCGCTATGCCCGAAACCTCAACAAATACAAACAATTCTCCTACAACCCCATTTACTTGACGGTCATCAATTGGAATAATAAAATTCTGAAGGCATTCGTGTCGAGCTGAGGTTGGTGTGTGGACAAAAAGCTATCGTTCACCAATACGTACCTGAGGCTCGTAAGGCTTGACCATAGGTAAGCTCCTGTGGGAAATCGTGCTCAAAAGTCTGGCATGGAGCTGCTCAAAAACCAGTGCCTTTAGGAACATAGGAATTCGGAACTGCAAACAGAAAGAAACGCCCAAGAAATAGAGACAGGGAAGTACTCAATTCTTAAAACAGTAAGGCAGTCTAGTTATACAAAAAGGACGTGCTGCAAGGTACCAAGAACGAAAGAAGAAAATGCAGAACCACACCGCCTGACGCTGTAGACAGGCGGGATTGCATCGAGATTCATATGCATGATAGGTTTTACAGGACAAGATTAAGTCGGTTCACAACAGCAGCCTAGTGCCTGACAATAATTCCATCTTGAATATACTGAAGCTTCGATGCCAGCGTGAAGTGCGAAACGTCGAGTAAGCATGACAAAACTACCCAACAAGTATGATCACGTAGCCACACCCACTTTAGTGAAATTCAGTCAGTCCGAAGAGAAAACTGACGGTGTCGACAGGAATGCGCAGTAGGTACTTTTTGATAAACATTTGATCTCAATAGGATCATAGTGTCTTACTTCTTGTTTGCTCGAATCAACATCGAAAAGCATAAGATTAGCAAGACATTTTATTCAGTCCCTGTCAGCTTTGAACCAAACGCAAAAGGGCAGTGGATCCAAACAATAAGTTTCTCACCTGAGAGCAACTCCACACTTACTGCGTGGTATTCATGACTTCGTCGATGGCGAAATTAAAAGGAAAGGTGACAGCGAACACCCTTGTCTCACACCGCTCGAGATATTGAAGGGCAGCGACAGTTTGCCATAAACCCTCTCTCTGCCCCAATTATGGCATTTACGCATTCAACAAGCACATCTTTCCTGAGGAAGCAGTCCCAAAGGGTACACTGATCCACCAAGTCGAAGTCACCTTTGATGTCGAGGAAAATGACTACGGTGGGTCACCAATAAATACGGCGTTTCAACAACTATCGTAATGTGAAGATATGCTCAAAGCGGCCTCAATTTCGACGAAATCATCACATCACTGGCTGGTCATCCCGGAGTTTCACGCAACCAGGCGCAAACGATACACGCCCAGTTGAGTAGGTGGCAAACAGGAGCAGCACACAAACATTCTGTTCAAGTTCAACAGGCGTCGGAAGGTACGCTGCCAAATGCCAAACTTCAGTGGTATCCACACGGTCCTATCACTTGATGTGAGCGACCCCGCGTAAAGATCAATGATCGAACATGATCTGCTTCTCAATGCTACATACTGCACTCGACTGCTATTGACTGCGCCATGAATCATCACACGCCACTTGTTCATTTGTTAACAGTCACTGTTTTCTGTTACCCACCGATTCCTGTTTCCATGACGTTACTGCCGGTGGGTTCGCCGACACTCATGGAGCTCGCCCAGTGACCATTCTTCGACCTCGATCTTCATTCCGCCTGGTACTCTGCAACATAGTGCAGATTCGGCCACAGGCTGAGTTAGCTCGTACCTTGGAGTGCCTGGGCATTAGTATTTTTTGTCCTTTCGAAACCCGATTGCAGGTTTCCAATACTGACGTCCCCCACCGACCAAGGAGATACGTTTCATCTACGTAGCTCTGGTGACGTATTAGCAGTCGCAGAAGGTTAAGCTGTTGGCATAGTACCAAGGATCGAAACCTAGATCACAATGCTGGATTAGTTCCAAAGTAAAAGCCATATGAGTGCAGTTTGTCTCCGAAGCTCGTACAGAATTGACAGTTGTGGCGAGGAAAGACGCAACTTGTCTGTGATCTTTGCGCACACTCTTAATGGCGGCAGCTGTGACTCGGTCAACAAAAATTTTATCATATACTTCATCAGACCTTGAGCAGAGTTCGCGAGCCCGATATTGTTGTCAGTGCTGGGGATCTCAATATGCCGATCGACCGCCCATAATCACGTGAACATCACTATAACGCGCTCGATGAGGGTCTCTCAGATAACGGAGACCATCATGTTTCGCTTTAACACCAACTTCAGGGCGAGGCGGGACCGGTTTCACTGAACATCGTTTTTACAACATCGCTATGGATCAATTGGTTTTTTCGGAATATTTCGACAGTGACATTCGTCAAACTATTTCCAAGGTCACCACTGCTTTCTTTCCCTTACTCTTTGAGATAAACTCAAGATATTGCGCAATTGTAGATGGACGGTCCCGGATGGAAATCTAACTTGCGACGCTGACCTCTCAATAGAATGCAGCTTTAGATCATTCCGTCTGAAAATTTTTAATTGCTGCTCATTTGTACTGACCGTTTATTCAAGTGACATCTCTACACAGTGTCCTTTTTCCATTCATACAAATTTGCGGTTCTGACAATTTAATTTTAACCCATGCGTAGTCGGTATTATAAAGTGCTGAAAATGTACCCATCTGGGTACATAAAATTTACTGTGACTTGCCTTAAACTGAAGTACCGCAACTTGATAGCCCGCTTCATCAACGCAAGCACGGTCTCAAATCCACCACATCGCACTAATTTTAAGATGGTGGGGCAGTGTGCCGAATCGGACACCAATCCAAATTACCTTTACTGGCGACGTAGTGGTCTGCGTGAAGTTTTATATGTTTCGGACCGTTCCTGAAAACTAAGCACCGCAAAGTCGACAAAACAGGTTAGCTGATCTCCCGATCAAGCTACGCTATTAAGCTTCCCTGACAGATGCGTTCACCTGCGATCTACCAGTAATCTCTCCAGGTAGTCAATTTGTGATCTTACTAAGCACCCATTGATGAGTTGGATCGCTGACCGCTACCTGGACCTATCTGACCTCTACAGAAATATCCCAGATCACTGTAAAGTGTGTCGTTTTTTCAGTCGGTAGACTTAATAAAGCCAGTGTAGTGTGATCCAAGCCTGATTCAGGAATGAAAGCCGCTGCCATCTCTGGTAATAGCAGCAAGCACTTCCAACTAATTCGGTTCATGTGCCTCAGATGCCTAGTGTCAGCAGATCGGCCACCAACCAATAACCTAGAGAAACGCTTGGGTCTATGAGCCGAGCACTTTCACACGCAGTTCAATTGACCCATACAATCCGCTTATGTGCCCTTTACACACAGTTGCCCACCGAGCCATCTCACGGAAGCCACACAATAAGGTGAAGTTTGTTTTGAATTAGTGCAAGGCTGACGGACTTTCTCCAGATCTGTTCAAGCATGGCACCGTGGTAAAAACCAGTCGGATGACCACATTATTTTTGCAAGGCTAGGCGTGAAGAATATATGTACTTTTCCAAGAGCCGTCAGATGTTATCCAGATGTCCAAGAAGGGTGCTTGCATTTCATGCATCAGTAACCGATGGGTTAGTCCCACTTCAAATGCCACCAAACTAGTGGAACCCATTCCGCACTTTAAAACACCTCTAATTGATGAACCACATTATGATAAAGAATAGTTCGGCTTTGGCCCCGGTGGTGGGTGTGTGCGCCGAATTTTCACGCACTGTCAACTCCTTGAGTACCGACACGACTTTGGAGGCCCGTCATCGTCACCTTTTCAGAGATCCGGGCGGCATTCTATCCGGTTGACCAATCAGCTCAGTGGCGTCGCTTACTAAAAAACGATATTCCAGAAAATTACACTGCTATCCTCCGTGCATATCATACCTCGGTGACTCCGATAGGATGAGGAGTACCAGCAAGTTTTCCTCGTCCTTTGTCAGTCGTAGTGTACGATGATACCATCCTATGTCTCCGTTGCTCTTCAGCTTTGCAATTACGGACAGTGTCAAAAGTTATGAAAGGTTAGCGAAAATCTGAATTATCCTTTACAATTATTATTATTATTTTACACCTTAGCTAGAGGTGAGAAAAACCCAAGCCACTGTGCTCCGACACAATTTTTCCAGGTGGTGATAAAAAACATCCGCGAAGTGCACTGTTTCCGCGACCGGGGTGTGGATGAAAGAAGAGGATGGGAGACCACCCGATGGCTTGATCAGGAGGAATGAAAGCTTTCACATGGAACTTGGCTTTATGTGATGCCTTCTGACTCCCGGGTGGCGTACTGAAACATGATAAACACGTTTGGCTAGACGTACTTTCTGACGGCCTCAATGGCGTTTGGGTTGCGAGTTTCTTTGCCTCTTCATCTTCTGCTCAGACTTTCTACAACGACGAGCCCACTTCAGGCGTGAAATAAGAGCAAAGCAAATGTTTTCCATTTTGTACTACCAAGCAACTTGAGATATTGCAGCAAAATAGCTGAGATGTTTCTCGCCCCGTGTTAAATGACTTCGATGATGAGTACACGGCCAAGGGAGCATCAGAACTAAGATTTTATTATAAATAAATGAGTAATATATTCTCGAGTATACAGAAGACACACCAGTGAGGACATGATCAGCTTTGTGAAGAATAAGTGTTAGCTGTATGGTGAAACAGCGCTTCGCTGCCGTGCGACCAGCACCGGTCGCGCGTGGATTGAGTACACCACGAGGACGTCCGGCCCCACGCGAATTCGAAGCGGTGACCTCATGATTGCAAGCCAAGCGTGCAGAACACTCGGCCACCGACCAACGATCAATTTTGTACAATCATATATATGTCGATCACAAGTTGGTCGTAAGTTATTCTAGTTACAAAGATGAAGAAGATTCATAAAGTTCCAAAGTGCAATTACGTTGGCTGTGGTAACGTTTCGAGATTACATTTCATTTTCGTGTTTTGCATGTACTGTCTTGACAGAATTAGGAATACATAGCGATGGGGATTTCACGACCGCATTGTCATTATGCAAGAAAGACAATCCAGATGTTAGTTCATGTTAGTGGTTTTGATCGGTCAAGTTGTGTTATCATCGAACGGATTCGCGGCGCCCTATTCCAAAGGGTTGGTTTCCCGGGTGTTTCGCCCGAAAATGGCCATCTCCACCAACAGATGTAATAAATAGAAGCTTCAAAGCTAGGAAGGCTGTCGTGATAAGCTACTTGTGGAAATGGTGTCGTTCAAGCAACTGTTGAAGCGTAAAATTGTGTCCAAAGTATTCAACGCTGAAGCAGAGGCCAATATAACTCACTGATTCCACTCTCACGATGACCAATGATCAGCATTAGCATGGTAAGGATTAGCAGCTTGGAGACTACGGAAATAGAACACCAAATTATGACAACCGTTAATCACAAGCTGCTTCCTTGTATCATCAACAAATAACGTGACTGTACCGGTAGGCAGTGAGTTGTCGCTGTAGTTCAGAGACCGTAGAGAATGTTAATTAGGATTAATTGCCATAGTGTGGAATTTCGTCAACTGTGTTGTTAAATCAGGGTCCCCGGAGATTCTAGGTGATACAACAAACAATTCAAACACATCGGGCTAGCGGAGTTGACAGGCAAACGCCATCAAGAATGGGCAATTCACAGGAGACGCAAGAGTGAGTGACAGCATCAACAAAATCGAGGTAAGTGGTCCGGTAAATTTACATTGAAGTGCGCTATGGCGGTGTGGTCAACATGAGCCAAGGACATTCGTTTAATGGTCGCTATACAATTCGAACGCGTGTCCGAAAGTTGTGTTGCTACCACAGCTTTTGGTGTGCACACACCTGAAGAAAGCAATCGCCAGTATTGGCAAGATAAGCATAGGCCCGTAGCATAGCCTAGCATAAACCCGTACCCTAAAGGTAAGGAGTTGGTCTTGTAATCTGACAGAGCAGGTTCGAGTCTGTAGTATCATTAGCTCACGTGCGACCGGTGGTGGTTGCGCGGTAGCGACACGTCGGTACTGCGTGCCGGCATACTGATGATCCCTTTGACTTTTTGCAAGATGAACCGCAAACCAGGTGTCTAAAAAGCGGTGTTCTCATTGAGTGGCGATCAACCTGAATAATCGTGT